TTTTTTTTTTTTTTTTTTTTTTTTTCTTTTTTTCTTTCTGGTTTTGATGGTAGGGTTGATGGGAGTACGTATTAAGTAAGCTTTTATTAGAGGCGGGACAGCAAAAGCTAGCTAAGTTGTCTTGTGTGATCAAGTCAAACGAAGTTGTTTTTGTGTGATTAATTGGGTGGGATATATTTTCAAGGTATGTGGCAAATGGGCTGAAACTTAAGCTTCTGATTCATCATTCAGGTCACAATCTTCTAGAGTGATCATGAGAGTCCTTTAACTGTCAGTTTTCATTCCTAATTTAGCATTTTTAGATTTTCACAAAAGGTGTGGTGTGTATATATATATACTCTTAGAAGGAGACTGATATAGCTCTAGTTTTTAGATATTCTATCAAAGATTATCTCTGCAGAAATCACTTGAATTCGAAACCATTTGATCATTCAATTAGATAGTTGTTTTTATAGTCTTTTCTTGAAATACCGTGTTTGTCTATTTTGTTGATTTTATCCTACCGCAATAATCATCTAAAAACAAGGGTAGTTTTTATATATAAGTTATTTCAAACAAATTCTTACGAAAAGTAGATGGAATTTCGAAAGAGAAAAATGAGATTAAACGTAAACACAAATATGTATCCGTAGGTTTTCTTTGTGAGTTATAGAATCACTATATCATGTATATATATGTTCAAAATTAAAGACTTATTTTGTATTGGATTTACCTAATTGTATAGTAAAAGGACATTTACACTAATTGTAGATTTACCTTAAGCATCAAACTATTAGTCAAGCAAAACTGCACGGGTAGTAGGACCTATATACTGCTTCCTTCTGGACCACAGTTATTAAAGTTTTGGTAGCCTTTGGGGTACGTGGCTTCATTTGTCATGTGACCAACGAAGAAGGGTAGAAGATGTAGCTAAAGCACACCATGAAGAAAAGTCGTTCACACTGTCATTGTTGACAATCCATCGACAGTATCTTACCTAATAATATATATATGCAAATCAGGACCAGATACAAGCATAGCTACTAAATTACAAACATAATTAATGTTCATCTTCATATCTCATATAAAGATATCTTAAGTCATTGGGTCATATAAAGATGGACAACTTGTGCCCCCATTAACTGCTTAATCTGACGCAAAACAAATGCATGGTCATCTGTGGACTACCGACTTGTATCTACGGCAATGTCACACAACCTGTGGTTTTGTTACACGTCATTTTCATAATAATTAATTCTTCTACTTTCGTTTTTTAGCCAAATTATTCTGAAAATATATGACCCCCTCCCTCTCTCACGTCATTTTCATAATAATTAATTCTTCAACTGCATTTTAAAGACTAGATAAGCATAAGAGCAGCTTCACAGAGAAAAACTTAATTGCAACGAGGATAACACTGTTTTGCTATATCTTCGGCCAATAATGTTATGCTACATCAAAGTATTATCACGAATGTTATGGCGTTATTGGTCGGGGATAGCGCTATAGAAGTCTTTCTCCCCTCCCTTGCCTCTGCCATGGGTTCAACTTGAAGCTGTGTTACAGAAAAAACTAGGAAACTAGGAAACCCACCCGCTTTCTTGCTGCGTTCTCTTGGTAATATCCGAATGAAGGAGTGATTAAAATCAATACCGACGGGTGCTGAAAAGGTGAGGATGGACGCATTGCTGCTGGAGGTGTACTAAGAGATAGTTCTGGGCAGTGGATGAGAGGCTTTGCTATTAATCTTGGTGTAGGACAAGTCTTAGAAGCTGAGTTATGGGGCATCTATCTTGGACTGAAAATTGCTTGGGATATAGGTTGCAGTGCAGTTGTGCTTGAGTCTGACTCAGTGATCGCGGTACACCTACTAAACAAAAATGTGGAAGACCTTCATCCTCTTGCTACTATGTTGTGGGGATGCCAAGACTATATACACAAAAATTGGGTTTGTTCTATTTATCATGTATATCGTGAGTGCAATATGGTGGCGGATAGATTAGCTGAATTGGGTTCATGTCTTGAGCTGGGTCTGTCAACCTTCCATGATCCTCTTGATAGTATTAGGTCTTTACTTAGTGAAGATTTACTTGGCGTTTGTAGGCCTCGAGCCATAATTTCTTTGTTGGGCGTTAGCCCCGTTTCTTCACCAAAAAAAATTAACGTCTCAAATGGTTGCAATATCCAAAATTGAGGCTCCTTAAATCTTTCAGGACAGAAATATATAGCAAGAGTTTTAGGAAATTTGTTCCCTATTTCCTCTTCAAATTAATATATTATTTGATTAATAGAGGAACATAAGTAAACAGAAGTTATTGTGTTTAGTATATTTCCCACTCATGTTTAGTACTTTGTCTGAAACCAGGCCCTTTTTTTTTTTCCACTAATTGTTATATCATTCTTATATAAGTATTCAGTAATAGGAATCAAAATCAATTTGATTACTAATATGCCTTGTACATAATAAAATATGTTTTGTATATTTACTAGTAGAAAAAAAAACTTAAAATGGCAACTACATCATACTATATAATAAAATTTTATTTCCTATATTTTTAAAATTTTACTGATGTTTAATGATAAATAATCCAATATATTTACATTATTATATTATTCTAAGCATTCATGTGATTATTTAAAATAATAAATATAAGTAATTTTGAGATAAAAAATAACAAATGAGTTTTTTTTTTTTGTTCATCAAACAACAAGATGAGTTTATATGATGGCCTGATGACTTTTTTTTATTTTTGTTGCCAAAGTTAGAAATAAGGAGGGGGTTTTCTCACGCACACTACCAAAGTGTCATGAGGATTCGAACATGAAACTACTAGTTTGCAAGTTAAGAATTTACTCAACTGGTTTGAAAGGGAGAATGAATTAAATAAAACCGCAAACTATATCGTTAATTTTGTTGTTGTTCATTTACCATTTCAAGTAGTTCCCGTTCTCTTTTTAAAAATGTAAAAACAAACCGTACCTACCAATAAAATGAAAACATTACCTGAAGACATATGTATTCAAATGGGTAAACGAGTAGATGTTAAGTTATCTTCTTTTTTTTCATCAAGCTAGAAATTGCCAAATTAGTATCACCATGCATGATAACAACAATACATGCACGGCATGCTTCTATAAGTTTTACTCCTTATTTTTCCATCAAGCTAGATCTTCCAATCCCTTGTCAACGGTGGAAACACTACTCTCGCTCCCAATGTTCACATAAAATCAATTGTAAATCACTTCATTAGATTAGGTGCACAACTCATTAACCAACAAATGGTGATCGCACAAAACAAATGAGTCATATATGAAACTCCATTAATATTAGGAAAAAACTTAGATTCCTTAAAACTGAGGAGGAGTTCGTCCTCAAAACAAACAGACTTTTGAAACTTGGCAAATTCAATTCCTTTAATTTTTTTTCTTTTGAATTCCCTTAACCTTTTTTTCTTTTGAAGTTTAACAAGTTTCAAAATCTCATTTGTTGTGAGGATGTCCTCCTCAATTTTAAGTAGCCAAGCCATACTAGACATTTTTGACATAATATGTATTCAGCAAGTTAAATCACATTTTAGTACATAACAAGGTGATCCAACGCGTACATGACAGAGAGCACAAGAACAAGCTGAAGGGCGAACCTATGATTGAGAGTTTATAGATATTACTCAAACCAATACAACTTTATTGCATACTACTACCCTTACGACACACCTGCAACATAATTAAGTCACAGAAACTAACAAGTTATCT